CAAACTTTAAACTTAAATCTACTTACTCTATGACCACAAACACATACAAATGTCAAATAATTTCAAAACATTTTCAAAATAATATACAAATATTATTTCATTTAGTATCTCACTTAATCAATTGCATATCAAATGCAATCCACTTCAAATATCTCATGTCTAATAGTAAATTTTACTAAGACAAAAATTAAAATTGATTCTTTAGTTTAATAGTTTAATTAACACATAATTAATCAATTAAAATCCAAATGCACAAATCACGGGCAGCACCTCCTGTGAAATTTTCAAATGTCTTGCCACAAATGTATAGAAAAATATTAAAATAACAATAGCAAATAATTAACTAATAAAAATTTACACGAAAATTTCAACATAAAACAAAATCCACTTCAAGCTCTACACCGTACATGTACTAAAAAATCTCTTAAATAAAAAATTTACCGTCATATTTCACCACTTAAATTAACTTAAATTAACTTTTTGTATATTATAGTAAAATTCATAATTCTCTCAAAACTTTAACTCAAAACTTTAACTCAAATCTATAGGTAAACTTATACTTACTTGAAAGTCAAACACCAAATTAAAAAGAACAATAGAGATTAAAAGGATTTCAGGTGGAGAATGCAACCTTACACCTCAATTTTGGCCGTAAAAACAAGAGAAAACACAGGGGAACCGACTAAAAAAAAGACGCAGGGGAAATGGAGGTTCTGGAAACCTCTTTTTAAGTCCAACCGAATGGTTCCTGGTCGGTATAATGCCATTTGGCAAAAAAATTTGGAATAATTAAGTTAAGGCCCTTCAACTCCTACTAAATTCTACTTAAAACCCTCAAACTTTAAATCCACTCAAGTTAATACCTAAAACTATAAAATAAATGACTCTAATTTTTAATCTATTCACTAAAGTATATGGAGTGTTATACATATTAAGAATGTTATAGTCTCTTTGCATTAGCTTTAGTTTAAGTTATATTAATTATTATTATTTATAATACATTTAATACATTTAAAAATGTAAAATTACTATGCCATTAAAATTATATAATGAGTAATTATTAATATTGGATTAATGTGGAAGATAAAGTGTTAGCTCTATATAAATATATATATACATCTCTTTTAACATGCATTTAATAATTAATATATATTATAATTCTTTTTTTATTCTTTATAAAATAATGATAAAATAATTGAAAAGATAAAGATAGGATAAGAAGAGAAAGAAAATGAAAAGTTAAAATAATAAATACATTTATTACATTTTAATGCAAAAATAATATTTTCTTATTTTTTTACAAAGTTTCTTCTATAATTAGAACAGAAATGACAAATTTTAGTGCTTATTTAATTCTTGAATGTAGTATTTTATATAATATATATAAATTATTCATTGTTGGATATATAGATTTTTTTTATACATAGGATAGCATTTTTATTTTCTTTTCTAATATAAATTTTATTAATTGTTAATCTAATAATCAAGTAATTTTTAACTCATATTTCTATTATTATTTTTTTCATCTTCCTCAATTATTTTTAATTCTTATTTAATCGAATTTACAATTCTTAAAAATTGAAGTTAAAAAGTATTAACTATTATTTTAATAAAAAAATAAAACCATAGTTATTCTTAATATGTAAAATCTACATGAAATATTATAAAATAAAAAAAAGTACTTAACAATTCTTTTTTTTTTTTTTTACATAAGTTTTTACCAACTCTTTCTTCTACAATTGATTAACTTGCAAAATTTTATTTTATGGTTTTTTTCTCATTCCTTCTATCATTTCCAATTTCTTGTCATTTTTTTTTGCTCCTATTCTATTCCTTAACTTATTGCAAACTATTTTGATATATTAATATAAGTACTCAAATTAAAGTTACAGAAAAGAAAAAAAGTGATTTGAATGAAATATATATGGCAATGGTATTGGATGCATATACAATTTAGAAAAAACATGAAATAAAATTTATATTTAAAAGGACTAAAAGGTTAATAATAGTATAAGATGAATAAAATAAAAAACATAATATCTTTTTCCAAAAAAAAAAATCATATGATTTGATTTATATCAAATTCATACTTCTCTTATTCAGTTTAGGGTATGAATCAACACTTTTATTGCTCTAATTGATTCCAATCTCATGAGTGAAGTTCTTTCATTAACAAAAAAAAAAAAAAAAATCATCTATTAATAGTCTATAAAGAAAAGAATGCATAAATTATAAACAAATAAAGTTACAAAATTCTTTTAAAAGAACAACATCATATGTTTTATAAAAAATTCATAAAAAAAATAGTAATCTTTATTTCATACAACAATACACATATTATGGATAAAGAGGAAAAAAGGCACAAGAAAAGAAAAACATAATATTACATTTAGTTACAATATTAAACATGAAAAAAAAAAATTTGGAACTCACCATATTAGTAAAAACAAATTGTAAAGATGAGGAGAGTATGATATATTGCTATAGAGAAAGTGACTAATGATTAGAAGTGGAGAGGAAGATGGAAGGATAGATGGAAGAGCATAGAGAAAAATCATGGAAAAAAGATGTCATCAAAGATCATAGAAGGGTGTGCATTTATACATTTAAACATTGACTTTTCATTTTCTTCATTTAAGCATTTTTAAATATTTAAACATTTGGTTTTTTTATATTAAAATAAACGTTGCTTCATTTACTACATTTATTCATCAATCATTTTTATCATTTACAATTTTCAATTATTTGTCTATCTATCACTTTTATTATGCTTTATAATTTTCATTTATTTTTGTCATTTATTTATAATTTATAATTTTCGTATATTTTACATTTTGTTTTAACATTTTAAATTAATATAATATAATATTTTAAATAAATGCATACCCTATTTAATGAAATTAGGTATAGATTTTGTATATGAATACTTTGTATACCCTATAATATTCATCTATTTTGTCTTCCATTGAGAAATTATTTGGTCATGGTCTTGCCTCTTCATCTACCAAATAATTATTTTTTTTAGTTATATATATTACATTTTATTATCTTTGCAATACTGTCTCTTCATCTACCAAATGATTAATTTTTTTCAGTTATGTATATTATATATTATTATCTTTTCAATATAATATTAATAATTATCATACTATAA